CTTTCCCTATAAATAAATTATGTAGTTGGTTAGAAATTTAATTAATATAACTTGCTTAATTAGATGACTAATAGGTTTAAGAGAGAGAAAATAACCGAGAGTTAATTCCAATATTCATTCGTTAGGTGGTTTCCAAATAATTATGACCAAACATGTATTTCAAACTCGAGTACTTTAAACTAAAAAAAGAAATGAATAAGGACTTTCGTCCCATGTGCTGTCTAATGTCTTCGACCACAAAATTTATTTTTGTCTTTACGAGAAAATATCTTCGTGTTAAATAAAAATTTCATTTATACAAAAAAAAATAAAGAATTTCCAAGTACGATTCACGCGTTAAGTTTCTTGAAAATTTCCATTGTTTTTCCTCTTGTTTTCCCCCTTAGCTTTCTCCTGCTATATAAAGAATTTATGAAGGGTTTTCAATGGTAATAATTGAGACATAACTGATCATAACATGACTCCAAGCTTTGATCTCAGTGACATGGACACTGGCATGGAGGTTCTCGACAACTTGACGAGGAATGTGAGGCAAGTACAAGACGATATATTACAAGGCATCCTAACTCGAAACATGGAAACTGAATACCTTCGACGTTTCATCCATGGCGGACTGGACAAAGAGCTCTTCAAGAAGAATGTGCCCATCGTCAGCTACGAGGACGTTCAGCCTTATATCGAGCGTGTAGCCAACGGAGAGCCTTCAGACATCATTTCAGCCCGACCCATTACCGGTTTCTTGCTGAGGTAATGTCTCCGAATTCTAGGGTTTTTTTTCCTCAGATCTTGGAGTCAGTTTTGTCATCAATGGCTGTTCTTGTAGTTCCGGAACTTCGGGAGGTGCCCAGAAGATGATGCCTTGGAACAACAAGTACTTGGATAACTTAACGTTCATCTACGATCTTCGCATGCTTGTTATTAGCAAGTAAGCACACCATAATTTTCACACGCTCTTAACTATTTCATTTGTTAATTTACAACTGCCCTGAAACCCTAGCTCTTCTTCTTCTTCTTCTTCTTCTTGTAGGCATCTTGATGGATTGAAGGAAGGAAAAGGGATGATGTTTCTATTCACTAAACTGGACGTCACTTCCCCATGTGGTTTACCAGCTAGGGTTGCAACTAGCAGCTACTTCCAGAGTGCTTATTTCAAGAACCGGCCATCGAACTGGTATTACTGTTACACAAGCCCGGATGACGTCATCTTGTGTCCGGACAACAAGCAGAGTTTGTATTGTCATATGCTCTGTGGCCTCGTCCAAAGGGACGAGGTTGTAAGGGTCGGCTCCGTCTTTGCTTCTGTCCTGGTCAGAGCTATCAAGTTTCTTGAAGATAACTGGAAGGAATTATGTTCGAACATTCGATTAGGTCATGCCAGCGAGTGGATCACTGATCCCGGCTGCAGAAATTCCGTCTCGTCGATCCTTAAAGGCCCTCGCCCCGAGTTAGCAGATGCAATAGAAGAAGAATGCAACAAAGGGTCGTGGAAATGTATAGTCACAAGGTTGTGGCCAAAGACCAAATTCATCGAAACTGTTGTTTCGGGTTCGATGGAACAATACATTCCGGCGTTGGAGTTTTACTGCAACGGATTGCCTCTCGTTTCAACTACTTATGGTTCTTCCGAGACTACGTTCGGGATAAATCTCGATCCTCTTTGCAAACCTCGAGACATATCTTACACGTTCATGCCGAACATGTCGTACTTTGAGTTCATCCCGGTGGAGGGAAGCGACGATGAGGTCGTAGACCTTCCGGACGTGAAACTCGGGTGCTGCTATGAACCTGTGGTCACAAATTTCTCCGGTAAGTTACCCTATTCACAAATATACGACATATATCAAACAAAACATCTCATTTCGAGAAAACGTTCAACGAATATCGCGATTTTTTTATTTCAGGTTTATACAGAATGAGGGTCGGAGATATAGTACTCGTGACGGGTTTCCACAACAATGCACCTCAATTCAAATTCGTACGGAGAGAAAACGTCGTCCTAACAATCGATACCGAGAAAACGAACGAGGAAGATCTCTTCAAAGCGGTGACTCGGGCAAAACTCATTATCGAGTATTCGGATCTCATGCTGATGGACTTCACCAGTTACGCCGACACCTCCACTATTCCGGGCCATTACGTTCTTTACTGGGAGATCAAGGCCAGAAACAAAGACGGTGCCGAGAATCTCGACGACGAAACACTCTCCGAGTGCTGTTTTCTAGTTGAAGAATCGCTCGACGTTTACTACCGATCTTGCCGGAGCAAAGACAGATCCATCGGAGCCCTCGAGATAAGGGTTGTCCGAAAGGGAACGTTCGATTCTCTCATGGATTTTTTCATCTCGCAGGGCTCTTCGATCGGCCAATACAAGACGCCGAGATGCGTAAAATCTGCCAAAGCCTTGGAGATATTAGAGATGAACGTGACCGCTAGATTCTTTAGCAAGAAATGCCCTTCTTGTGAATCTTAAGCCATTATTATAATGTTTTGAGTTTTCCCTTAAATAAAAATTATCTTGATCTATGTATTATTGGGGTTTTAATAAGCTTGGCATGAAATTATCTTGTTTACATTTTTTTTTTTTAATGAAATTATCTTATTGACTATGAAACTCGCATGACAGGACGGAACAGAGCATGCTCTGTTCCCGCGTTGGTAAGTGCAAAGATCACGGCTTGTTAGTTTCAACAGACGCTGTCTCTCTGTTCCATGTCTTGAATTACCAAAACCTGCGGAAAAAAGTTCCTCCAAGGCTTTGTCTGAAATCCGCCTCAGACGTCCCGCTTGACCTGCGAGTTGACTCGGAACAAACTCATTCTGAAGTCAATCTTGAAGACGGAGAAAAGAAATATAAACGTGGCTGTAGGTGAATATAAAGCAATTAGCGATACAATGTTAATTAAAAATTCAAATATTAATTGTGTCGAATATCTCGTATATTATTTGTTTTCATTGTATTTGTATTCTATGTTTATTTATTTCGATAATTTTCTATAGATATATAAGTTATTTTCATTATAAAAAATATATATATACACCAAAAAAAATAGCTATCAATTTTATTAATTAATAAATTTAATATTATAAAAATAACAAAAACTAAAAAAATTAGAATTATTAATGATAATAATTATAAAACTGTACGATAAAATATAATGTTAAACAGTTATTAAATATTATATTATTAAAATATAATAACAAATTAATTTTTTTAAAATTGTGGATCCCACCAAATCGTGGACCCCTGGATCACACATGCACCTGTTTGTTTGTTTTATGGCTCAGCATTGACAACAATAAGCATTTGCTAACCATTTGCTATGTATTATTCGTTGACCACTTTACTCGTTACTCTTGGTTATACCCTTTCAAACAAAAGTTCCAAGTTCGGGAAACATTTATTTGCTTCAAAAATCTCGTTGAGTCTCAATTCTCGGCAAAGATCATTTCCTTATACTCCGATAACGGTGGTGAATACATTGCCTTGCGTTCCTTTCTTGCCTCTCACGGCATTTCTCACTATACTACTCCCCCGCATACTCCCGAGCATAATGGCATTTCGGAACGTAAACATCGATATGTGGTTGAAACGGGTCTCTCCCTTCTTCATCATGCGTCTCTTCCGTTGTCTTTTTGGTCGTTTGCATTTACAACGGCAATATATCTTATCAATCGTCTACCTACACCAAACCTTTCCATGTCCTCTCCCTTCTCGGTCCTCTTTGGTGATACTCCTAACTACACCAAACTTCGGTCTTTTGGTTGTCTTTGTTATCCTTGGATTCGACCTTACGCATCTCACAAACTTGATTCCAAGTCTACTCCGTGTATCTTTCTTGGTTACTCATCATCTCAAAGTGCGTTCCTTTGTTTTGATTTCCTTCAATCCCGTCTTTTTGTATCGCGTCATGTTGTTTTTCATGAGGATTTATTTCCTTATGCTAATCTCTCTCGGTTCACGTCTTCCCCTTCTCTCGAGTCCGAGTCCCCTATGTTTTCTGGTCCGCCGGTTTCTCCGGCACATTCCTATGTCTCACCTGCCATTCAGCCATGTTCGACACTGCCCCTCAGCTTGGATCCTTCTCCGCCGTCAGACCTCCCTGAGCAGGCTCCCTCGGTGACGCATCCCTTGGTCGCCTCGAGTCCAGTAGCTCCGATGATGCCTGTTCCTTCTTTTCCAAGCAACCGACATCCCATGCAAACTCGAGGGAAGAACAACATATCGAAGCCGATTTCTAAGCTGACATTATCTGCGTCTTTGTTGGATTCTAACAGGGAACCGACGTCAGCAACTCAAGCGTTAAAGGATCCCCGATGGCGCTTGGCTATGAGTGATGAGTTTAATGCGCTCGTCCGCAATGGAACTTGGGAGCTTGTTCCCTCGACGACTGCAATGAATATTGTTGGTTGCAAATGGGTGTTTCGGATCAAGACTAATCCGGATGGTTCTTTGGATCGTTACAAGGCTCGTCGTCTTGTCGCGAAAGGTTTTCACCAACGTCCGGGCATTGATTTTCATGAGACGTTTAGCCCGGTTGTGAAGCCGCCGACCATTCGTCTAGTCTTGAGCCTTGCGGTCACCAATGGGTGGACAATTCGCCAACTTGATGTAAACAATGCTTTTCTTCAAGGCAGTCTCTCGGATGAGGTGTATATGTCTTAACCTCCCGGGTTTGTTGATAAGGATCGACCGGATTTTGTCTGCAAACTTCGCAAAGCTATATATGGACTCAAACAAGCTCCTAGAGCATGGTATTCGGAGCTTCGTAACTTTCTTCTGGCTAATGATTTCATCAACTCGATGGCGGATACTTCACTTTTTATTCTTCGGGCCAAAGAGTTTCACCTCTTTGTTCTTGTGTATGTTGATGATCTCATTGTCACAGGCAGTTGTCCCAACCGTATTCAAGAGTTTATCACTTCGCTGGCAGCTCGATTCTCTCTCAAGGATCTTGGACTTCTCTCATTTTTCCTCGGCATTGAAGCGTCGCGGTCGGCCAAAGGACTCTTCCTTTGCCAGTGCAAGTATATCTCCGATCTTTTACACCGCAACAACATGCATGATGCGAAGGCCGTCTCCACTCCGATGGCTTCTACCTCTCGGCTTACACTCAAGTCCGGTACTCCTCTTTCGGACCCTTCGGATTTTCGCACATTGGTTGGGAGCCTGCAATACTTGTCCCTCACAAGACCCGATATCAGCTTTGCAGTAAATAAGTTGTCTCAGTTCATGCACGCTCCGACAGATCTTAATTCATTGGATGGCAGTGAAACGCGTTCTCCGCTATCTCTCTGGCACTCGGACGACGGGTATTTTTCTCTCGGCTCTCAATACTCCTACTCTTCATGCCTTTAGTGATGCAGATTGGGCTGGTGACCCTGGAGATTTCAAGTCCACCGGAGCGTTTGTAGTGTATCTTGGTAAACATCCTATATCTTGGTCCTCGAAGAAGCTCTCGGTCACTCTCGATCCTCCACCGAAGCCGAGTACAGGTCAGTAGCCAACACGTCGGCCGAACTCTGTTGGTTAGCCTCCTTGCTTCGTGAACTCGGAGTCACTTCCTCAACCACTCCGACTATTTATTGTGATAATATTGGCGCTACGTATCTAAGTGCCAATCCGGTCTTCCATTCTCGCATGAAACACTTGGCATTGGATTATCTCTTTGTTCGTGGTCAAGTGGAATCTGGTTCTCTTCGAGTTCTGCATGTTAGCTCGCGGGATCAACTTGCAAACGTTCTTACCAAACCGCTTCCCCGGAATTCATTTCACGATCTCATTGCCAAGATCGGCATCACCTCCGGTGCTCCGACTTGAGGGGGCGTATTGGAGATATTCTTGTGATTGTAATCTAATCTCATATTAGGAATATTTCCTATATTGTAGGATCTAACTGTTAGGCGTATATCTCCCTTGTACCTACATATATGTGTAATCTATAATCATAATAAAACAAGCAATTCAATCAACCTATAACAAAACCTTGTCTTAATACCAAAAATGGCCACGTAATGGATAATATTGTAATATCGACCAACGCCCAAACCACCTTGTCTCCCACTTATTTTTATCAAAGACCCGTCATTTTATTTTCGTTTTTCCTTCCTTGAATTATTGAAGCCATAATTGTTCATCATATTAAAAAAAAAAAAGCTAGAGATGTTATCCACTTTTATGGTGAACGAGTGGTTGTAACCGGTTGAAAAGGTTTGAGATGTTATTGTTTCATTTCATGTCTCATGTTACACGTGGAGAAAATTATAATTAAAAATATCTTTATGGATGTAATTGAGTTAAAGATCTAGTTAACTAAACTAAATACAAAAAAAATAGAGATATTTTTTTGATAATCCTAAAGTTTATCACGTTTTTGGTCAAACTAAATCTTACACGGAAAAAAAATTAGAGATGTTGATTAGCAAACGTATATATCAACTGCCAGATTTTCATGTGTAGCCCTCGCGACAAATATAAAGAAGCGGCACACCGATCACACAACACACAAGGAGAAACGTACATATACGTACGTACGTGTACGACAACTATCGATCTACTACTGACCATAAAATAAAGTAAAAAAATTCAACACGTGGGCTCGCGGCTCTGTCGGCACCATAACAGCTGTTTTTCACCCCCCCAAAAAAAAACTACAGCTGTTTTACGTGGAGATAAGAAATGGAATTATACGCAATGGATCGGAGAAAGGGAATATTACAAAAACAATGAGAAATTTAACTTTTTTAAATTATTTATTTATCAAAATTATGTCATTTAATCTTAAAGTCTGAAAATCTAGGTTAAATGGAGCATACGATTATGTTATTTATGTAGAGATTATGTTTTATTTAGAATTTAAGAAAAAATAACATTTAATTGCCAAAAACAATTACAATATAAAGTTTTAATTCATCATTTTCTTTTGTCCCTTTATTTTGGATTGTTTTGGGAGACAATACATTTATGATTTATCAGTATTAGAAGACAATTTATTTCACATACATCCAAGAAGAAAAAAACAGAATAATAAATTTAGAAATATTTTTAATTGTATTTTTTGATGAGTCAGTAGACAAAATAAAAAAAAAAGACAAAAAAAATCATGGAGATTCACGTTCATTTCAATATTGTATTGTACGCCCTTGTCGATTATTTGGACAGAGAAAGAGATACGTGAGCTGTCTGAATTACTGAACAATCATTTGCTTTGCCGCATTAAAAGTTTGTTCTAATCCTTTTACACACACACCCACGCACGCCAATAATAATCGATGCTAAACTCGAGATAATTCGAGATACGCAAATAGAAATGAGTACAAGCTTTGATCTCGGCGACGAAGAAGCCGGCATGAAGGTTCTTGAGGATTTAACGAAGAACGTGAAGCAGATGCAAGACAACATATTACAAGACATCCTCACTTGTAATGCGAACACTGAGTACCTTCGAGGTTTCCTCAAGGGTCGGACCGACAAGGATCTGTTCAAGAAGAACGTCCCGGTGGTGAACTACAAGGACGTTCGGCCTCATATCGAACGTGTCGCGAATGGAGAGCCATGCGATGTCATTTCTTCAAGACCCATTACTCAGTTCCTCCTAAGGTAACTATGAATTCAATTCCTTGGGCCGTCGAATCCTAGATCTACTAATTAAATGTATGTTTTTCTTTTGGGCACTTTGAACTGTTTGTTGCTTGTAGTTCCGGGACTTCAGGAGGAGTACAAAAGATGATGCCTTGCAACGACAAATTGTCGGCGAACTTCGCATTCACCAATGATATGCGCATGCTCGTTACAAGCAGGTATGGTACGGATATTTCAACTGTTGTCATTCTTGAGTGTCTATTTCGTATTTTACAAGAATTGCGGAATAATACCTCGTGTTCTTCATTGAACAAATCAATATACATGTATGTGTGTATATATATATTATTAGGAATTATAGAGAATTATGAAAATTTAGAGTTAACTATTAGAGGTTAATGTCTCAACAGGACTAGTTTATAGTTTTTTTAGCGAGATTATGTCTCTCTCTCTCTCTCTCTCTATATATATATATATTATTTTGTTGAATGAATAATATAAGATTTTATTCCACAAATCTTGACATATATACTTCGGACCGAAATAAGAAAAAATTAAAAGTACATCCATATTCACGATGAGAATTGAGGCAAAGATCGATCACCATGGAAATGGTTTCTCCCTTCTTGTCTTTTTTTTTTTCTAGGGAAGTGGACGGTGCAGAAAATGGAAAAGGGATGATGTTTTTCTTCATTAAGCCAGAGATCAAAACGCCGTGTGGTTTGCCGGCTAGGGCTGCCACGACCAGCTACCTCAAGAGCGACCACTTCAAGAACCGACCGTCGAACTGGTACTATTCCTACACGAGCCCAGATGACGTCATCTTGTGTCCGGACAACAAGCAGAGCCTGTACTGCCATTTGCTTTGCGGCCTTGTCCAAAGAGACGAAGTTGTGAGGGTCGGTTCCTTCTATGCTTCCGTCGTGGTGAGAGCGATCAAGTTTCTCGAAGATTTCTGGACGGAGCTGTGTTCGAACATTCGGTTAGGTCAAATCAGCGACTGGATCACTGACTTGGACTGCAAGAAATCCGTCTATCCTATCCTCGGAGGGCCTCGTCCCGAACTGGCCGACGAGATCGAACAGATCTGCAGCCAAAAGTCGTCGTGGGAAGGTATACTCACACGACTCTGGCCGAAAACCAAATATATCGAAACTATTATTACGGGTTCGATGGCGCAGTACGTCCCGACACTGAAGTTCTACAGTAATGATGATATGCCTCTCGTCTCGACGGTTTATGGCTCGTCCGAAACTATATTCGGTATAAATCTCGATCCTCTCTGCAAACCTGAAGACGTATCGTACATGCTCATGCCCAACATGTTGCACTACGAGTTCAAACCTATGGACGGAAACCTCGCCGACGACGAAAAGATCGTCGACCTTGCCGACGTAAAACTCGGATGCAGCTATGAACCATTGATCACAACTTCATCTGGTGAGTTTTAAATTACGCATCTCTTTCAACAAAATTTCCTTTTTTTCTAATGATAGATTCTTATCTTCAGGCTTATATAGATTGAGAGTGGGAGATGTCCTAAATGTGACCGGTTTCCGCAACGATGCACCTCTGTTTCGATTCGTACGAAGAGAAAACGTGGTTTTAAGCGTCGATATGGAGAAAACGAACGAAGAAGAACTCTTCAATGCGGTGAACAAGGCAAAGCCTTTACTCGAATCTTTGGGTCTGATGCTTATAGACTTCGCCAGCTATGCCGAGACATCGGCTATTCCTGGTCACTACGTTCTTTACTGGGAACTCGGGGGTAAAAACAAAGAGGGTAAACCTCCGATCGATCCCAAAGTACTGGAAGAGTGCTGTTTCGCAGTGGAGGAATCGCTTGGCGACGTGTACAAGAGATGCCGGAGTAAGGACAGGTCTGCCGGAGCTCTTGAGATAAGGGTTGTCCTGAACGGCGCGTTCGATTCTCTGATGGATTTCTTCGTCTCGCAAGGTGCTTCCATTGGTCAGTACAAGACTCCGAGATGCATAAAATGTGCAAAGGCGTTAGAGGTGATGGAGAAGAGAGTCGTTGCGAGGTTCTTTAGCAAGAAATGCCCTTCTTACGAGCTTCGTCTCTAACGTCTATCTTCTCCGTACACATCTTGTCCGAAACATGGTACTTTATGACATGTGATTAATGTTTATCTGGATTTGATCTTTAAACCTAGAAACATGTTGTGCCAATCTCTGATCAATTTAAAATAATGACATGTATATAATATATATATATATATATATATATACACATTGAACGGATAATTATTCAGTTTTTTCAGATGCAATAATTCTTATTCCATCCGATCCAAGCCCAAAACATTCTTATCATAATAACCTGGTCTGCTCGGATAATGGGTTAGACGGACTAAGCTTGTGGCCCGTTTGTATTTTTTAAAATAACAGCTTATCTTAATACATATAAAAATTGATTTTTTTTTTAATATAAACTTTTTGTAGACAATAGGAAATCTGAAGTTTGACCTGACCCTAAAAAAATTAATAAAAAATAAAAAAAAAAAAAATTTGAAAAAACAAATTTAACCGGCTCGTCCGAACCCAAATCCGAAGTATATAGAATTGAGTTTCGGGTTTGGTGATTTAGATCTAAAAAAAATCAGATCGATTATAGTCCGAATCTAAAACCTTCGGACTAAGTGCGGATTCAGATCTACTCAGACCGTTCCGAATAACATCCCTCCATAAAATCTAGAGCCGTATCGTAAAAATGCATATGCAAGTGGAGCAAGGGTACGGGGCCCCACAATTTGATGGGCCCCACATTTAAAAAAAGAATTTTAAATACTAATAATTTGTAATTACATTTATTAATATAAATATAATAAATAATTAAAATTATATTTAACATAAAGTTTCGTAATTATTATCATCAATATTTATAATTTTTGAGTTATGTTTGTGACTTTTTAACATTTAATTTATCAATTAATATAATTAAAAAATTTATTTAATATTTTTATAAAAAAATAAAAAATTATTTTGTACAGGCCCTCCGAATCCAATCCATCGGGACGGCTCTGATAAAATCACATACATGTATGTATATATATAGTATATAGATGAAAGATGCATTTTATATGCGTAATCCTGACGCCTCGTTGTCAGGTGATGAAATATTCCGATATCACACCCTGAAAATTTTGTCCCTAGAAATAGTTATATATATATATATATATATATATATATATATATTGTCGTGTAGCATGTGAAAAATCAACATAATGGTTAGTGGATACACTATTTGATGTGCAATCCCAAAGTGAAAGGGACGCAGCTCAAATCTGTAGTCACTCTCGTACCCTAATAAGACCAAAACCTATGTAGCGAGAGAGATCAAACATGTATCTCATATCCCTACTTTGTCATCAATCATTAGCCCTTCTTAATGTATCTTACGCGTCAATGGTTTAAATTGATTGATATAAACAATTATCTATATGCGAAACTAAATCCCGAATCTATAAAATTGTACGTACATCCAATTAAAAATACAGTGTAGCTACTTTAGAGAAGTAATCTTTTGGATCAATACCTATAATATATTATAGATCAATACCTAAAATATAATGATTTACAAAAAAAGGTGTGAGGTGTAGCCATGATTAAGCTCTGGTGAAGGAAAGAACAGAGAAGCTGATGGTAAAGGAGAAGTCACTTTCAAAGAGCGTCTTCCAGAAGGCTCGGTGCCAATCCGAAGGGTAAGGCCAAAACGCAGAGTTCAATCTAAGGGCATTTTAGTCAGAAATGGGATAAAGTCGTTATGGTTGTTTTTTCTCAGAATCAACTTATAAGCTGGGTTGTTTCAGCATTCTCAGTGGTCATTCTTTACACAATCTTTCGTTCTTGTAATTCTCAGAGAGTTGTAGACACGAAAATAGTGAATTGGGCTCGGGACGAACATGTTCTGGATCGAGACGTAAGACACCTAAACTGGGTGATCTGAACTCGTTAATTCCCGTGTGTTCTTTCGTACTTTTTATATTCGAGTGAGGAGTGATTGGTTCGAGTCGAAGAAATCAAAGGAGGCTAGAATCGGAGATCAATCCGGTACAACTGGTATCAGAGTCTGGTTGGGAAACACCAGGGATCGATCAATCGCAAAGGTAAATTCTGCAATCAAAGAAATCTGGGTAAAATGATGAACTGCAAATTCGAAGTAGAAAAATACGATGGAAAAGGAGATTTCTCGTTGTGGAAAGACAAGATCATAGCTAGTCTAGAGATCTTGCGGCTTCACGACATGTTAAGAGAGGATTACGATTTGGCAGAACCAAAAGATACTAAAGAAAGCACAGAATCAGATTCGGAATCAAAAGGAGTCAAGTCAGAGACTCAAAAAATATCGGGTCAAGCAAAGAAAGAGGCTGCTACAGGCCAGGAAACCAGATATGAGAGGAGTAGAAGAGTAAGAAATCTTATTCTCCTATGTTTGTCTGATCAAATCATGCGAAAGGTCAGACATGAAAATACAATGGCTGGTATCTGGAAAGCACTGGAGGAGGAATTTCTGCACAAATCTCTTCTGAACAAGATGCATTTGAAGCAGAGATTGATAGGTTTCAAAATGGATACATCAAAATCCACAGAAGATAATGTGGACGTCTTCAAGAAGTTAGTAAGCGACTTGGCAAACCTAAAAATTGATGTACCAGAAGAAGATCAGGTACTCATATTGCTTAACTCTTTGCCTGACCAATATGACCAACTCAAGGATACTTTGAAGTATAGTCGGCGTGAAATTATAACTTTGGAGGAAATAACAAGTGCTGCATATTCAAAGGAACTTGAGTTAGCAGCAAAAGGTGGGAAAGCTAGTGCAGAGGGACTTATTGTCAGAGGTAGAAGTAGAACTGAGAAAAGGTCTACTGAAGAACAAAGAAAAAGAAAAAAGAGTCGATCAAAGTCTAAAGGAAAATCTGATTCAGACTGTTGGTTCTGTGGTAAAGAAGGACATTTCAAGAGGGACTGCATGACAAGCAAGAAACACTTCGAAAGTAAGACAAAGAGTGATGGAGAAGCAGCTGCAGTCGCTGACACATTACTCGATACTGAATGCTTCAGCATTTCAGATCAAGATCCCCAAAATCAATGGATCTTGGACTCTGGATGTACCTTTCATATGTCACCAAGAAAGGAGCGGTTTGAGCAGCTGAAACTTCAACAAAATGGAAGGGTTCTGATGGGAAACAATGTCACTTGTGAAATAAGGGGCATCGGGAATATTAGGATAAGAACACATGACAGGGTTGTGAAGGTGCTCAAAGAGGTCAGATACATTCCAGACCTAAAACAAAACCTCATTTCCTTAGGGTCGCTGGACAGACAAGGATATCAGTACAAAGCACAAGGAGGAAAATTGAAGGTGGTAAAGGGCTCATTGGTGGTAATGTTAGGAAATCTAGAGAAAGGACTTTACGTGTTGAATGGAGAAACGGTAATTGGTCAGGTTCAGAGTAATGAATAAGTTTTGGATGAGACATTATTGTGGCACAGAAGGATGGGACATGTAAGTTCTAATGGAATGGAACTCATGGCCAAGAGAGGTCTGTTTAAGAAAGCAAAGATCAAAAAACTGGAAATCTGCGAAGAATGTGTTATGGGTAAAACTCACAGGCTGAGTTTCGGTACTGGGAAGCATACTTCAAAAGGTGTCTTGGAGTATATCCACGCAGATCTTTGGGGCTCTTCAAACGTAACACCTTCTCTCTCAAAAGCACAATACTTCTTATCCATTATTGATGACTATTCCAGGAAAGTTTGGATTTACTTTCTTAAATCCAAAGACGGTGCATTCTCATGTTTTGCTGAGTAGAAATGTCTGGTAGAAAATCAGAAGGAAAGAAGAGTCAAATGTCTAAGGACTGACAATGGACTCGAGTTTTGCAACCACCGGTTTGACAGTTTTTGTAGGGACAACGGAATAGAGAGGCACAGAACTTGTACTTACACCCCTCAACAAAACGGGGTTGCTGAACGAATGAATAGGAGCATCATGAACAAAGTCAGATGCCTTCTTGGTGAATCAGGGTTAGAGCAGAGTTTTTGGGCTGAAGCAGCGGCAACAGCGGTTCATCCCATTAACAAGACTCCGACAAGTGCATTGGATTTCAAAATCCCAGAAGAAATGTGGACAGGTAAGGAACCTTCCTATCACTATCTTAGGAGATTTAGGTGTTTGGCATATGTACATGTAAATCAAGGAAAGCTTGAACCAAGATCCAAGAAAGGGATTTTTCTAGGATACCCAAAAGGAACTAAAGGGTACAGGGTATGGTTACTGGAGGAGAAGAAATGTGTCATCAGCAGAGACACCATCTTCAAGGAAGATACAGATAATAAAGATTTAAAACAGAAAGAAAATACAGAAAGAGAAGGAGAAGAAACTGAAACTCCGGTAAAGGCGTTCTTACCAGCTATCATGGACTCAGAACATGTGGGAAAATAGTGCTTAGAGCAAGGTGGAGCCTTGGATCAGATAGAAGAAACTTCATCTGATGATAATGCTGAGGAAAAACTACAGGAAGTAAGAACAGAGGTTTCTGAGTCAAACCAAGAACTATCTGGATATCAGCTGGCAAGAGACAGGGAAAGAAGAGAAAGTGTCCCACCAGTGAGATATCGAGAATGCATTTCTCAAGGAAATGTGGTAGCCTTTGCATTAAATACAGCAGAAGAACTTGAACTTGAGGAACCAAAAAGCTATCAAGAAGCCAAGAAGAGCAAGGATTGGATATATTGGAAGAGAGCTATGGAGGAAGAAATGGATTCACGGGAAGAATAAGACATGGAAGCTAGTTCAGAAACCCACAGACAAAAGAGAAATTGGCTGTAAATGGATATTCAAGAGAAAGGAAGGGATAGCACGAGTGGAACAATCAAGATATAAAGCTAGGTTGGTCGCCAAAGGGTATGCACAAAGAGAAGGTGTGGATTTTCAAGAAATCTTTGCTCCCGTTGTCAAGCACGTATCAATCAGGGTGTTGTTATCCTTAGTGGTACATAAAAACATGGAATTAGAACAGCTAGATGTCAAGACAGCCTTCCTACATGGCTTGCTAGAAGAACAGATTTTTATGACTCAACCAGAGGGATACATCGTTAAAGGAAATGAAGGTCTGGTATGTGAGTTACAGAGATCATTGTATGGACTGAGACAGTCCCCAAGGCAATGGAACAAGAGATTTGATGAC